AAAAAACAGATCTGATTTTATCATCCTTGTGACTGTAGGGGACAAGCCTAAAATCAACCCTTACATGAGACACCAGCAGCTCTGTGTTAACATCTGGGGGAGGTGATTTGAACCTAGCCCCAAATTTAGCCCAACTCTGCTCTGAGCTTGTGCTGCTGTTATCTGGGAGGAAAGGTGCCTCACTACAATTACACCCCACTCATTGCTGCCTGAAACCTCCTGTTTGGTCCAAGAAACTGCCTGATAAGAAAAAGAGCCCAACACAAACCGCATCTGTCCCTCCCCACCTGTGCTTCCTCTCCCAGAGCCTCTTCTGGAGCCCCCTCCAGCACCATCCCTCACCCTCACCCTCACCTCGTGGCATGGAAAAACCTGCTGGGAAGGGGACACTCACACAGCTCACACTTGAGCCCAAAGGATTTCCCAATCTTGTTGATTCGGACCATTGGGGTGAAGCCAATTTTCTTGAGGATATTGGGCAAGATCTTCTTTTCTTCTGTCCTGAAATAATACAGAGGGGGAAAAACCAGGCTAATCAAAGCTATTGTTATGCAACATGAACCAAGAGAAAATCTGAGTGAGGTTTCAGCAGCTTTATCAAGGCCATGGAAAGACACCCCAACTCCAAGAGGAAAAGTCCCCATCAACAATTAGTGGCACCAGGAGTTAGTTATGGTTTTCCATCATGAGTTATTAGCTCTTTTACATAAAAAGCAAGCTAATTAATTTTCTGAAATACCTTGCTCTGCAAGGCCCTGGACCAGGTCTACAATGAATGAGAGGATGCTGGCAAACCTTGGGATTTTATGTTGTGGATGAAGAAGCCAGGAGACACAGCACAAGGTTCCTCCTCTTTCCTCCATCCTGCCCAGCACCACCTCTGCTTCCCACATTTACAAGTGTTGTTTGCCTGGCCAGGACTCCCAAACTTGCAAGGATGGCTCCAAAAGCCACTGAAACACTCAGGGCTGTCAGTGTGGCTGAGCCATGGCACGAGGATGCTCCAGCTCCTTCAGGCATTGTTTAACTCTCTTGAGAGTGACCTGTGTTAGTGCTTTACATGTCTGGCATATATCCTGCAGACGCTGGTATCAGTTCAGGACAGTGGACAAGGATGTTTTTTCCCTAAGATTCCAGCTTTTATTCATGGCTTGCTATTGCTTAAGATGTTCTGGGGAAACCAGTTCTGGCAAAGCAAGGAATTCCTGCTGAGGTTATGGTGGGTCAGAACTGGCTCAAGGGATATCAGTAGTCTACGTCTGTATCTTTGGAAAAAAATAATCCATACTCTTGATTAAAATAGCATCTTGCTTCTCTTTCTGCTTCTACTCCCAAAACTCAATCAGATTTCACATGGGAATCTCAGAAGTGCAGAGATTTTTGCTGCCTTGGCTGCCATCTGTGGTTTACCCAGAGCAGGGAAAGCAAACCCCTCTCTCCACACAAAGATGTGACATCCCAGTGTATTTTTTTTCACTATTATGCAGTGGGTTGTTTCAGTTCCTGTCCAGCAGTGCTGTGAGGGCCCCCTCAGCCAGACCCCATTCCCAGGGTGGTGTTTGATGCCCAGGGGTGGGGAATGTCTCTCCATCTCCTGTCTGGGTGTGGGATGGGTCCTGACAGTGGCACCACCACGGCACCCTGACGCTAAATTGTTAAAAAATAAGAACATTATCCTGCACAGCATGATAATGGAGGGGGAAAAGTAATTTTAACTGAAAAGAGCCAATTCAATCCTCAGGTGCCAGCTGCAGGGGTTGCACTGAGTGAGTGCCTGGATGCACAGCTCGCTGGATCAGCTCCAGGGCTCTGCATTCTATTCCTCCCTCCTTCATGCCAGACCCAGAGGCTGTTCTGGTTTTCCACATGCTGGTGGCTGTGTCCTGGCCTTGTCCTGCCTGGCATGTGGTCAGGCACTGCCCTACAGAGCAGTGCTGCACCTCCCGTGGGCTCCAGTTCCTCACTCACCAGAGCTGCAGTCCTGGTTTACATCTTTGCACTGCAGGGACGTGTCTGCAGTTCCCTGGCATTTATGGGACAGCCTTATCTTTAGTAGCTTGTCTGTGTCTGGTTTGCAGGGTCATTAAAGCACCTCTTGTCAAGCCTAGTCTGGGCCCTCACGTCACCCTGGGAGAGAAACTGCAGCTATGAGGGCAAGAAGAGCTCAGAGCAAGCACTTTTCTCTGCACTGTGGCCATTTGCTACAGATTTAAAAGCCTGTAATCCATTTTTATGAAGGCATCTCAGCCATCTAAAATGAGATGCCCCAAACAAGCAGATGCTTTAAAACACAGAGCTGAGTCTCGAGCCAGCCACACCTTTCTGCAAAACTGCAGGGAGTGGGAAAAATCTCCTTGGAGAGGAGGGACTAAGCTGGGTTTGCCATCTGAAAATTAAACCATCATTAACATAACTACTAGCTTCTGACCATGATCATCATGGTGCAACAATAGCATTTTACCTCAGCAACAGGAAAATGTGCTGAGCTTCACTCTGAAATAACAGCATGGAAGAATTACTTACAAGGGAACACAGGAGTGTGGAGATTTGCTGGCAGGCGTTGTGGCTGTCCACGTGCACTTACTGGGCAGGTTGGGAAGGATCCACGTGCTGTCCTGACTTCCTGCACCTCTGCCATTCATGAGGGGACACGTCTTGCTCAGCTCCTGTGTGGTGGAAATAGAGGTCACAATATTCACCTGGCAGAAAAATAGCTGCAGAATGCAAAAAAATGGTGTTTGGATGCTTGGAGCATCCTGCTGGCATTTCAACCACATGGATCCAGGTGGATGAGGAGGCTGCACCKATGGAAGGAGGTTGGAAGGAGAGGAACAGGTGAAAGGATGGTGTAGTGAGGTGGGTGTCAGTCTCTTCTTTCAGGGAGCAAGTGATGTGACAAGAGGAAATGGACTCCAGTTGCTCCAGGGGAGATTATACATCACAAAAAAAAAAAAGACACCTAGATTGGACATTAGGAAAAAAAATAGCATTTGAACAGATTTCCCAGGGAAGTGGTATAGTCACCATCCCTGGAAGTGTTCAAAACTCACGTGGATGCAGCACTTGAGGACACAGACTAATGATGAGTGTGGTGGTGATGGGTTCGTGGTTGGACCTGATGATCATAAGAGTCTTTTCCAACCTTAACAATTGCATGATTCCATGATTACATAATAAATTTGCTCTTTCAGAATGCTAGACCCCACACATCATTGGGGCATCCTCTCCAGTACATCTTCCCCTGCTCAAAATCATCCCCTCCACTAGAAAATTTATGCTCCTTGTTTAACTATTTGGTCAAAACCAGCATTTTTCACCCTAGCAGCAATGAACCTGTAGAGAAATCCACCCGGCAGTAGCTGGAGAATACATTTATGGTGGTGGTGGGACTCAGAGGTCACCTCTACTCTGGCATCCAAGTGTATTAAAATTGAGAAAAAAGAACCAATAGGAAAAAAAAAAAAAAGCAGAGGCCAAGAAAGGTGCTTAGAGTACAGAGAAACTTAAAACAGTAAAACRACTTAAAGAGAGAAGGATTCCTCAGACTGGAAATGAGACAAGTGGCTGGTGGTGAGAGTGGGCTGTAAATCCTGGGGGAGCTGGGGAAGGTGCATCAAATAATAAGCAACAAATAATAAGGCAGAATTAAATTATCAGGRACTACAGGACCAGAGCAGGTAAAAAAATGAATGAGAAAAGGGTTAAACCAATTAAAAAATGTTCAGTAGCARATTTTAAGCACACAAGCCCTAATGGCATCTGTGCCCTCTAGGAAGGCAATTTTCTGTGCTGTTTTCTCTGCAGTGTTGGTGCACATACAGACAAAAGGAGGAGTCTGAGTGTAAAGTTTATTCTCAGCACTAGCTGCTGACCAATAGCTGAAACAAGGGTTGCATTCATGTTTGGTGTGACTCTCTGTGTTCTGATCCTCTCTGCAATCCCTCCACCACCCRTCTGTGCTAMGGAAACAAGCCACATGGTGAAAMGATGCAATTGTTGGTGCCTGGAAGYTCCTCTTCTGGCTTATTCACAGAATGAAATTACCTTGATTCAGACATTATTGAATAAAGGGATTTTGCAAGTCTGTAGGGTCATGGATGGATATTGTGTCCTATTTTGATGWTGGAAGCTGCTGTAAAGCTGCTTAGTCTGTGTCTCTACACCTCTGTGGTGCTGCATTTTGCAATTAGAGCAAGTGTAACACTTTCATTACCTTTGCTGCAGCAGAAATGCTCAAACACATGATGTTGGACACTCCTTCTGCGTTTAACTTCGGATTAAGAATAATGATGTCATTTTGAGATCTGATAGAACCAAACCAATGACTCAAAGAAGAAATATCCCATTTCTAGACASAGAGAACTGCCTGCAGCAGGATCAGACCTGCTGCCACATGGAGGGGATATGGGAAATCCAGTTTAGATATGGAGCATCATCTTTTCTCCAGGCTGTGAAGCCACAGCCCTGCCCCTCCTGGGTCCCCAGGCTCCTTGCAGTGCCCAGGGACTCACAGTGGCCAGCACACTCTTGTGGCTGGGTCCTGATTATCTTGATTAATTAATTTGTGGCTTGACATATGAGCCCAATGCAGCCTTAATTACCATTTCTGCCATCCTCCTCCCGCTCTCCACTCGTTTCACCCTCCTGGTGGGAGTTTCTTTGCAGCAGCCTGGCAGGACAGCCTGAGTTCTGCACTGTGATTCCGTGGCGGATTCCACGCCAGCCAGGAGAATGGGACTGGGGTTTGCTCCCTGAGGGTTGGGCTGTGCCTGGAACACAGAARCACACCACAGCAATTATTCCAGCARCACCAGAGGGATGAAACAGCCCCTGATGTGTGGCTGAACCTTTTCCTTGTCCAGAGGCCCCACAGCATCTCTGGAGATGGATGTCAACAACTTTGTGTTGCAACCTGGCCCCACAACTAAAGCAGACAGAGAACTCTGGTCCACCCCCACGCCAGGTTCTGAGCCACCTTTTCTCCTCCAGAGACACCACCCCCAGCCTCAGAAAGCAGCAGGAAACCATGAGGGCACAGGGCAGTCACTCCAAAATTCCTCAAATCCTGCAGTTGACAAAAGCTTTCCCAACAAATTTTGTTTCCTGGTGCTCTTCCCCACCACTGACAAACCTGCTGCTCACTGGAAGAGATTAAAGGGGAAAAAATGGTTCGTTTCCTTGCAAGCCAGGATTTGTGCTGGCCTTGGGTGTATCTCCTGAAGCAAATCTGTGTTTACCTAAGAAATTAGCTGGGAAGGAGCAAAAGTCACCTGTGGGTAAAGAAGAGATAATCCACAGTGTATCAGAGGTGGTCAGCATGCTTTCACAACTAAGGGCACCAGTTACCACCCAAAATGCTGGCAAAATAGATTTTATGAGTGTATTTTTTTCTTCCTTTTCCTGGTGATGCCCATCTCAACTGTAATCGTGGTGGGGTGGACAGAGACAAGGTAAGAGGGTGAAATTATTCAGGGTCTCACCACAGAAATGCCCTCTCCCTACCAGCCCTAATGCAGGAGGGCTTCATGGAAGGAAGGCCATTACTGGCTCCACACCTTCTAAAATAAGGTTGCATTCTCCTCACTCTGTTCATCTGATACCAAAAGAAATGTCAAGAATGGGGTTTTCATTTGTTCTCTTACCTAAAGTGAGTACAGACATATTTTCTAGGCACYCAGAGAATAAAGAAACAAGAGCCAGCCCTTCATTAGGTCAGCATCTACATTCTTTGCTGGAGAATTCCTCATGTGTCTCTCCAAGGGCTGGGTAATTCCCAGTGCTGCAGGACTGCATGGATGTCCTTCCATTTACAAAACACTCTGCATCAAATCACTGCATTTCTGTGCCCAGAGTCAGATTCATATTTAGATTCATACATGTCAAAAAACCCAGAGCATCTGTGAAGGCAACCTTAAAAATTGCCTGAAGTGTAGAACCCCCAGAACAAGGTGGCAGATGGTCTGAAATGGCATCAAAGGATGGGAAGGATCTGAGACTTTTGGAGGTCATAACAGAAGGATCTGGGACTTTTGGAGGCATCAACACAATCCTGGTGACCTGCTCCCCTGCTGCTTGCCTCAGGGTCACATYCCATCAGCATGGCTGGGTGGGAGTGTGAGGAGAAAGGGGTCACCATGGACAGCCTGGCTGCTGCAAAGGATGCCCAAGAGGAGCAATGTCCAGCGCAAACATCTCCCCATGCTGCCTCCAGGGCAGATTTAAGGCACCTTAGATTACAAAGCAAAGACACATCCCCTATTGATTGCCAAAACTCTTACCTGTGTCCCAATACCCTCCCCAATCAGCTGAAGCTTCAGGTGTCATCTGYTCAGCCACCAAATACACCTGACCCACTGCAGGTGCCCTGCCACAGCCCCGTTACTCACTGCTGAACAGAATCTTGAGAGGGCACAAGACTGGGCAAAGGATAAATGGAAATCTCCACTGGAGTTGGGGAGCAGGATTACATGGAAATCTCCACTGGAGYTGGGAAGCAGGCCAAGAGACCAGGAATGATAACACACAGCTGCTGCCACTTCATGAAAATATATGACAAGGAGCACAGGCTAATGTTTACAGAGCACTTGGAGATAGGAGATTGCAGTTATCAGGTTATCAGGCTGCTCCGATAACTCCAAGAGGACGAAAATCAAGATGCTCATTAAGTGAGGTGAGGGAAAAATCAGATGAACTCAGCAAGGCAGAAAGAGGTACATGCAAGCTCACCCCATTCGAAGCAAAATGCCATTTTCTTGCTTTATTCTGACTAAATGGTATTGCTGTCGCTGAGCAGGACAAATGTAACATCAGTTTAGCAGAATGATGGAGTGACCCAGGACCTTGGGAGGTCCCAGCCCAGCTTTCTGCTCAAAGCTGGGGCACCACTGAGTACAGCCCAGTCTGCTCAGGGTTTTGTCCTTCTCAGATCTTGAAAACCTCCAAGGATGGAGCTAAAAGTTCTCCAGACAGCCCTCTCTACAACCCCCTGACCTCATAATGTGAAGCCAAATAAATCCTCCCTGGTTGCCTGGTTTATTCAGGATTTATTGAAAGTGCAGCTACTCCCCAGGTCAGAGTCAGCCTTTGCACAGGATGGGGAGCAGAGGCTGCCAAATTCCAAATCTCCCCACAACACCAAGGRTCCCCATTTCCCACAGAGCCTGCCAGGAGGTAACAGAAAAGCCAACACTCACCCCTGCAGCCTGTCAGCCGAGTGCCTGTGCTGAGCCCCAGCCCCAGTTTTTATGTGCTGGTGGCAGGGGACACCCGTGAGCTGCGGGAGGGACGCGATTGGGTCCTGCCCCACACCTCGCTGTGCCCTGATTGCTCTCTGAGGGGAGGTGACTGGGGTATATAAAAAAAGATAAGCAATTTCTTGTTTGCTTTAATTCGTACTTATCTTCAGGAGAGCTCTCAACCCATCCCCCAGCAATTTGGTGCTGGTTTTAGAATTTTGCTGCTGTTCTGGTTTTGTGTCTGGTGCTGGAACTTCAACCCAGCTCATCTGTGCCAGCGTGGGCCTTGCTGGAGCAGGCAGAGGTAGTGACAGAAATGACATTCTGTGTTAGGTGCTGTCTGGTGGGGACTCTCTGTGTCCTCTGGGATCCTGGGATGAGTCTCTGCACCACCTCCAACCCTAACCTCTGTCTCCTGCTGCTCATGCAACTCCTTTACCATTAAATCAGCTGCAAGCAGTGAACAGCTTCTGCTCCATGGTGATTCCCAAATACCCGCTGGGGATCAGGAAATTACAGGGATGCAGATTTTGCTTGAAGAGGAAGAGCCCATGAGAATTTCAGTCCCTCCATTCCCCACTCCTTCCCAGAGCCAGGGCAGCACACGGGCTGGGACTGTGCTCCTCCAAAGCACAGCAGCAAATGAAACTTCACCATTGCTGAGGTGACCAGGCAAGAGTAAGGCTCCTCAGAATGCTTATTTTGGAGCTAAACTTTCGAAGACAACACTGGTGTAGGTATTAGCACAGGGATGACTTTACCTTTGGTCTTTTTGCAATAAATGAACTCTCTGGAAAACATTGCCAGAGGTAATCCATCGCAGAAAACTCTTGTGGGCTATCTGGTGTGACACAGAACATGCAGGTCTCTCSTGAGGAGGCTGCAAATAACCCCAACCCCAGCAAGAACTGTTTTTTTGTGGGCATTGCAGTTACAGAATAACCTAGCCACCCCTTCCTGGTTGTCTCCTGCAGCAGCATGTGCTTAAAAACAAGATTCTTCTCTTCAGGGACAAAACTGTGGGAAATGGGGATCTTTTCAACCTGCAAGGAAACAAGATTTGGATGGGTATTGGAGGGACAGAAAACAATGTTGAAATAAAATGCTTCCCTAAGAGAAATACATTTTTAAATTAAATACTTTCTTAAAAAAGAAGAAAAAAATCTAAATGGCAAGTTTGGGGACTTTGAAACAAAAAGGCCCCATTTTTTTGGGAGCAAGGTAAAAGCTGTTCACTGCATCTGACCAGAATGCTCAGGCTCAGTTGCTGGCTGGGTTTAAACCCTGGGTGATCTTTTTGGTGCCCGGGATGGTGCTTGAAGGGTTCAGGTGCTCCTGGAGGCATCGTGGCTGTGCATGAGCTCAGCCTGGAGCACCTCAGAGTGTGTGGCTGTGGCTGAGCCCACCACAAAGCAGGGCCATCCCTGGAGGAGCTGCAGCCAGGAGCAAGGCCATGATGGAGCAGGGACATCTCTGAAGCTGTTGTGGCTCACAAAGAAGACCATGCACCCCACCAGCGAGGAGGCTKGGGATGCAGGAGGGTTGGGGAGGAACAGCTGGCTCCAAATAAACCAAGGGATATTCCACAGCATCATGCAGGGCATGTAAAGCTGTAGAAGAAGGAATGAATTGAAATGATGGTGTTTGCCTTTGCAAATCATCATGACATGTGATGGAATCCTGCTGTCCTGGGGGTGGCTGAACAGCTGCCCACAATGGGAAGYGGGGAATGAATTCCAYRTTTKGCTTTGCCTGTGCACACAGCTTGTGCTTTACTTGTTCCTTTAACTCAGCCCACGAGTTTTCTCAGTTTTACCCTCCTGAGGAGCTGGGGAGTGAGTGGCTGTGCGGGGCTGAGTTGCTGGCTGGGGTTAAACCCGACTTTTTCCCACCMCCACCATCCCCAGAGCTGCTGTGCACTCAGACCCTTTGGCATCATCAGCCCTTCAGTCTCACACACACGGCTGGTTTTGCCCCAGCAGGTGAGGACAACTCACACTACCCCATCCCCTACCTGATCTGCTGCCTGCAGCATTTAACCTGCAGGATTCCMCTGGCTAAACATCAGCATCTTAAGGCTGGGAAGCAACAAGTGGAGAGAAAATCAGGCTGCCAAAAAAATAGGGGGAGGCGGCTGAGAACACAGGGATGGCTCCAAGCTCTCACAAGAAGGTGTGACACAGAAGTTCATGCTCAGGAAGAAGGGCCCTGCTTTTAAAACATCATCAAAAAGATTATTTGAAGAGGTAGTTTTATAGTGCTCATCTCCTCTCTACTGTGCAGTGGGGGAGGCCCTGGCACAGCGTGCCCAGAGAAGCTGTGGCTGCCCCATCCCTGGAAGTGTCCAAGGCCAGGTTGGATGGGGCTCTGAGCAACCTGGGATWGTGGAAGGTGTTCCTGACCACAGCAGGGGTTTGGAACAAAATAATCTTTAAGTTTCCTTCCTACCCAAACCATTCTGTAATTGTGTGATCCCTGTGAGGATGCAACACTCAGATTTTATTTCTGGACACTCACCAGGAAAGATCCTCCATGACCACAGTCACCCCCCAAGTGAATTTTTCTCCTAGAGGAGACAATCTGCTTTTTAAATGTTCCTGATTCTGGTGTACCAAATGCTAAAAATCCACATTTTCCCCTCCCATGTAATTTAATAATCAAAATGGCTTTATCAAGGCAGTTGAAGCTCCACATCAGGGCTTGAGAAGATGTCAGGAGGATTAGCAATGTTTTGGAAAGGCCTAGCAAATAATTCAGGGCAGAAAAGGCTTTCCTTGGTTCTTGGCTTATTTTGGCCATCAGAGAAAACCACCTTGCTGTGAGGGTATGAGGTTAAAACTGCTACTGGTCAAGCTGRATTGGACTGTGAGTTGGAATACTGGTGATGGTACCCACTGTTTGAATAATGTGGGTAAACTTGTGGGGAAGTAAATTATATGGGTAAAATGTGGGTAAAATTTATGTGGGGGAAAAGGATGYTGTCACTTGCTGTTAAACATATTTTTTACCTGCCCAACACACTTGGTGTGCAGTGCAAAATGCTTCCAGCTGAAACACCACGATTCCAGCTGTCACAGGCCAAGGAAGGAATGGGTTAGAAAAGTTACATTTTTGTTCCTGCATTGGAGCAGCTGCTCACACCCACCTRTTCAGGAGAGGTCACCATTTGCTCGTTCAACCCCAGGAGTTTTTAGTTCATCTGATGAGCCTCCTCTGATGGTACATCTGCTCCTGGTAGCTGTGGGGACAGCAATACTCCAGAGACATCCAGGGAAGAGCAGACCTGCTGGATTTTCCTGGGAGGAACACAAGGCATGAGCAGCTCCAAACACTCTGGTTTTCCTTCCCTTCACAGGCCAGACCTGCTCTGCTTGCTCCCAGGGGGCAGATCAACTCATTCCTGTGTCCTGCTGTGTCCAAAAGGGTCTCATGAATCAGAGTGAATCACAGATT